TACTTGCATCTATCCTAATCTATATCTTTTGAAACAGTTTTTTTTTAGATCAAGCATTAGCTAGTATAATTGTTGAAAGCTATACTACTTTACCAACTCAAGATTTCTACTATACAGGTCCTCTGCTCATATATCCAATATAGATTTATTCGTATAATATTACTGTCACACTTCTAATATCTGATTGACTTGGTGTAATGCTATTTTTTACAGAGTTTTGTTATATATATATAGCTTATTGTATACTCTTTATATAATTACAAATAGTAGAGATTATTAATATATAATCTAGTTTGTAATACTAATAAAATTCTTCTATAATATAAGCACTTTTAACAATTAAAAAAAAAAACTATATTACTTCTACTCTCTTTTTCTAAAGAATTCTTTATTTATAAATAGTTTGTTCTACTATCTATTCTTATTAGTTCAACTAATATATTTGTTAGAAGTAGTTTAGAGTTTTTTACTTCATGTATTAAATCTTTTCTTTAAGACTTCTAATAAGTTAAAGTATATAGTCTAAAGTATTTGTTAATTTTATATTTTATTTTTAAAATAAAGTTGAACTAGTAGCTACTTTATTCATAATTTCTTTTTTTTTTTCTTTATATATTTCTCTTTTTTTCTTCTTAGAATATATACTTTTTTATTAGTTTTCTTTATTTGCTTTCTTATTATCTGAAATTTTATCTTTACTTGATTCTATTCTTATACTACTAGTTTTTCATTCTACTTTGTTACCTTTTTCTTTATGATTACTACTAGATGAAAGTCTTCTATTAATTAATCTTTTATATTTTACTTCTCTTCTAATTACTTAACTTAGTCTAATATTACAGTAAAATATAATATATTTAATACTATTTCTGTAGTCTTTTTTATTCTTGAAATATACTGTTATACTTCTTCTATTATTATTATTAGAAATTTTAAAAATATGTAATACTTTAGCTCTTATATATCTAACTTGTCTCTATAGCAAAATTTTATTTGTATTTTTTAGCAAACTAAATAACTTTTTGCTATATAAGTTATATATTCTTAGCTTTTCAAAGTTGGTTTTTCTTGTTGTAATTCTGATTAAGTAGTTTTTCATAAATAGCAAACATTATGTTTCTGCTAAATCTTTTATATTTATTGATTCTGAGAAGAACTCTATCTCTGCTCATATTTTACTAAAAGATTTTCTGATTATTTTAATATAATCTATTTTTCTAATAAAGCATATTAGTTTAAATACTTAAGATCTACTTATCTATACTAGTAAGTTCTAGATTATTATTTGATCTTTGCTTATTTGATCTTCAGATTCTAGTTAGTTTCTTTAGCTATATTTTTATATTTTTTTTTTTTTACTTTCAATTATAGAAACCTTATATAATATTTTTATTTTTTTTTGTTTAAAGATTTTATTAAATTTTTCTCTTGTTCAACTCTTTCTTGTAATTCTATTTTCTTTTTCCTTTATTAATATTTTAAAGGTTTCTTGTAGCTTTTTGCTTAATGTTATGTTTTTAACTTTTTTGATAAGAGTTAGAGCTTTTCAAAATCTTCTTTAATATTTTTTAGTTTTACTTTTGTTTCCTTATATCTTTTTTCACAATTAAAAATAATTATACACTAAGATTTTTTTTTTAAATTTTTCTGATATTTTTTTATATAAGTATTTTCTTTAAGAATTTATCTTAAAGATTTTTTCTTTCTGTTCTATATTATTTCTAAGTATATTAATTACTACTACTTTTGTCTTAATATCATTCTTATTCTCATATCTTTTCTTCTTAAATACTTAAATACTTTTGTTTAAAGAGATTTTTTAGTATAATTCTATACTTATTAGCTTTTGCTTCTCTTTCTTAATATAAAAAACTTCTTTGCTATTTTCTAAATTACTTATATCTATCTCTATTTTGATATTTTCTATCTCTTTGAGTTAAAATTGTTTATTAATATTTTTTCTTTACTTCTATATACTTATACTATTTGATTATTTAACTATATAGGTATATTTTGTAGGTTTTGTATTTCTATTTCTGGTTTTGTTTTTATTTCTTTTATTTTTATTTTTTCTTCTATTTGGTTTATTTTTTTTTCTTTTTTTATTTTGATTAAAGCTTTTATACTGTCTAGCTTATCTAAAGTTACAGCTCTTTTAATTACTATATACTAATACTTTGTTACTTTAATAATTTCTAGCTCTACATCTATTAGATTTGCTACTATATTATTTAAATACTTCTCAAGTTCTAATACTGAGTTACTATTATCTATTGCTATTTCTTTACTATATTTTTTGATTACTTCTTCAATTAATTTTTTCATTTTTTCATTTTTCTATATTTTTTCTTACTTTTTATATTTCTATCTTAAAGATTTTAAATTTTTTTATTACTTGTTTTGTTTTTAATACTCTCTTTTAAACTATAATTTTGTATTTTATTTTTTGAAATAACTTCATATTTTTTTAAAAATTCTTAGCAATTTTTCTAATTATTTATAGATTATTTAGTTTTGTTTTTGTATATTCTATTTTTGTTTTTAGTATATAATATGTAATTTTTTCTATAACATATTTTTGTTTATCTTATTATTCATATAGTTATATTACATAAAGTGATCTATATTTCAAAGTATATTTAATTTTCTAATTTTTCTAAAAAAACCTTTTTAAAATCTGCTTTAAATCTAAACTTCTTTCTAAATTCTTGTTTTTTTTTAATTTATTTATACTTTCTGCTTCAGTATATATATTTTTTTCTTCTCTTTTCTTTTAGTTAATGATTTAAATATTTGTTTTTAATAAAAATTTCAAGTTATCTTAATTTTTTTTTTTGTTATAAAATTGATTAGAGTGATCAATAAAGAGAATTTTTTTGAATAAATTAAACTAATAAAAACTAATATATATTAATTAGAGATAAATAAATTTCTAAACTTCTTATTCTATATAAAAAAGAAAAATTATATTTTACTAAATATATTAAAATATAATTTTACTTAAGCAAACTATTTTTTTAAAAAAAAAATTTGCTATTGTAACAGATTATACTTAGATACTTTAGATAGCCAAATAAGTCTAGAATTAAATAAAGAAAGCAGTTAAGTAGATAGAATAGTATAGTTTATATTTCTGTTATAACATATATATGTTTTCTCTTAATAAATAAAGAACAAGATTGTCTAAGTTAAAAAGTCGAGTAGAAGTAAACATTCTTTTAATAGCAGAAGGATTAGTTCTAAAGTTTTTATATATATATACCTCTATCTATCTCTTTTGTTCTTTTTTTTAATTCCAAATCTATCAAATATCATATACAGATTACTCGAGCATTGACCTCCAAGTAGTATGATCTAATTAACCAACCAACGAAAGCTATTTTATTCGTGTTATATCTTAACAAGTAATTAGTTACTTTCACGTAATTTTCACTAAGTATCTTCTACTTAAGATCTCGACTTATATACATAAATATAAAATTAAGTCTTTAGAAGCTAAGAAATAAAAAAGAAATCAAATATTTAAAAAACAATCTAAACATATGATGAAAGCGATGAAATTGAAAAGCAGTTAAAAAAGATTAACGACAATCAAAAGAAAGTAATTAAACAAAAGAATGATAGGATCACAAAAATAGAAATTCGGTAGGTTTTGCTATAGATGTAATGTGGTCAAAAGTGACTTTGGATAATAAAGTTCTTATCGTTATTAATGTATTATGTGACGTAAAACTCTACAATGGGAATAGATTAGCGGTGTTCGATCTGCTGAATTCGGATTGTGCCGCTAATCTATTCATTACGATGCAGGGGCGTGGAAAATCTCTACCCGGGTACTGTATTATTAAATTACTGGGTAACCATATAACAGTTAGATTTTTTTGTCTACCTAGCAGAACCTAGAAAGATGCACCATTCAGGATCGATTTATAAAATTGTTTTTAAAAATAAAAAATTTTCACAGTTAAAATAATTTAGGCTAGCAAAAATAAATCGATCCTGCTGGAGTAGAGGTCGGAACCGGTTTTAAAAATTCAAGTTTATCACATAAAAATTCGAGTTTATCATACCATAATTCGAGTTTATCACATCAATCATTAATGATTGATGTGATAAACTCGAATTTTGGTATGATAAACTCGAATTTTTATGTGATAAACTTGAATTTTAAAACCGGTTCCGACCTCTATGCTGGAGTAGTCTAGTATACAATACAATGTTAGATTCAGAGATATCTAATTTTTTTGTTATTACTGTTATTGGTTTATGCAAATCATATCTTATACTCTAAGATTTACCCTAGTCTTTCGCATTCAACGCTTTTCTTATGCAAAAGAATCAATCTCATTTTTTTATATCAGATATCAATTATACAGTATTTTATATTTAGCATTATTAGTCCTTCCACGTTTGTTAGGTTGTGTCTACTACTTATGCTATATGCGCGTTTCTTTTTGCGATGTCTGATGCAATTTTTGCAATATTAATTTGATTGTAAAAAGAGATAATATTAGCAAAAGCTATTCATGAGCACAATTATAGATTATAATTTTTATAGAAAATTGCTGCGCCTTAATTATCTATTACGTTAGGTCATCATATGTACATACAGTATCTGTGTAATGATTTTTTTTTAAATAGAAATTTTTTATGACAACCATTTTATATAACATATATCTCGTTAAAGTTAAGACTATTTTCGAATCCTATGATTGAAAATTAGCTACGTAGGCCATTCGAAATATCGTTTGTAAAATGAAGGCGATTGTTCATTACCAAAGTATTATACATATCGATATGTGATTACTAAAATTTACTTTGCATAATTCTTTTTAGTAAATTCAGTAAACTGGTAAGTATAACGCTAGTGCTACCTGCTCGTGACAAGCATGACATATGATCCAATAAAACAATTGATAAGCAAGAGAAACTTATCTTACAGATAGAGAATAGTTGCATCGACTGGTTATTCATAAAAGATTACCGTTCTACCACCGTTAATGACAAATACTACTACTACTTCTAATTCTGTGTCCTCTCGGAGCCGAACCATTCCCCTGAATAGTGCGGTTGCTCCACACTTAGCGATAATGTCTAGTATGTCTAGTTCGTCTGCTTCACCATATCTTACACTACCCTCAACAATGACCAATCCGCCCCCTGTCCTGCAATACCCAACTTTATCAGTTAGTCAGGCTAGCTCGACGTACTTACGATCAAATACTAATTCGGTCAACGCGGCTTCGACTGCACACGCGATTGGCTCTTCTACACATTCGACTTATTACAGCCATCCACTTGCTTCTTCTTCAGCTCTTCCTGTAAACTTGTCTACCTCAAGCTCACAATTGAAGTCAACACCTCCAAAACCTAAACTTCCTGAATATCTTGCTAACACAAGCTTTGCGGAACTGTATAATAAAGCCCATACCGAAAAGTTCTCAACGAACAATAATGTAACTGATAAAGATTCGATCGATTATGTGGCTATACCAACTGCATGGAATGTTGACGATAAATGTCCTCTCTTAAGTGTAGATTCGGATAGACTTAGAATAAATTATATTGGTAAGGCGAATCGGATTATATATTGAAATCGTTCGACTATTAAGAAGTTCAGTGAGATTCAAACACTCATTCGATCTTGCATAAATGATTGATCGAACTCTATAATCAAAAAATTATACTTCGATCCTTGTACATTTGGCGATTTAAATTTAAATTACTTGATCTTTATCTAAAAAAAGGTTACCACATAATTTTTAACTTACGCGAATTTTCATTACAAAGGTTCTGGAAAAGCTGACACAGATGCTGCCGCGATTCGAGCAAATCATCCGATGCCTCCACAATGCGGATTATTTTATTTTGAAGTTGATATTATAAGCAAAGGAAAAGATGGGTAATACAAAATAACTGAATATTATTTTCGCATCATATAATAATCAATACTTTTATATTTATAATGTTTATTTTTTTTCGAAAAAGACATATTGGAATCGGATTTTGTGCAAAAACAGTTCTTCTAAATAGATTGCCCGGTATTTAATAGTAAAATTTTTGCTTACTAGCTAACGGTTATATGAATACAATTTTTTTAAAATAATTATTCGTTGTAATATTCATAGGATGGGAAAATGACTCATGGGGTTATCATGGTGACGATGGGCATTCTTTTTGTTGTTCAGGAACAGGCAAGTCATATGGTCCAGTGTTTACAACTGGTGATACGATTGGGTGTTGTATAAATTTCAGAGACGGTACAGCATTTTATACAAAAAACGGAAAACATCTAGGTAATTTACTATTTAAAATGTTCAAATTTTGTTGTTAGAATCATAATTTATATATATATATATATACTTTTTTATAATAATTTCAAGGAATTGCATTCCGGGATTTAAAAGGCGTCCTTTATCCGTCTATTGGAATGAGGACGCAAGGCGAGTCGGTTGAAGTAAATTTTGGACAAAGAAAGTTCAAATACGAGATAGAACATTATATGGAGGTTGGTTGTGTAATTACATGAAAAAATATTTTTTTTATGTACATTATTTAAAATTTTTACGTGCAGGAAGAAAAAGCACGATTATGGAATGTAATCAATGCAACGCCAATGCCGTCAATTTCATCACCTCTTACTTCTGCACCTATCTCTCAAGCCGCCTCAGAAGCGAACCTTACAGCCAATGCACATCAACTTATTTTATCTTATCTTGTCCACCACGGATTCAGTGAAACAGCAAAAGCATTTTCTCGAGATACTGTACGGATTTCTCAAACATACAACAATGAAATAAATGAAATGGAGGGTGTAGAAAGTGAAAATTCGTCACCAGATATGGACATTGATATGCTGAATCGACAGAGTAAGCAATAACAAAAAATCTAATTATTTTGTTCGACTTTTAAATAGTAATTTAAATAACCTGCTAATTTATATTTTAGAAATTCGCGATGCTGTTCTTAAAGGGAATATCGATAATGCTATTAAATTAACTAACAATTTGTACCCTAATGTCCTACCATCCAATGATGATATTCTTTTCCAACTTCGATGCCGTAAATTTATCGAAATGATAGGCGCTTGTGCAGGAACTCAAATAATATTATCAGATCATGAAGACGTTAGTATAAAGTTTGCTAAAAGCCATACAATGATTGATGATGATGATACTGATGATGAGGTTGTCAATGAAATTGTCGAGGAAGATGATAATGACAATGAGGATGAGGAAGATGAAGAGTACGAAGATGCAATGGACGTCGATGAGTTTCCTGCCATTACTTCACAAAGTGATTGTGAATCAGGTGATGATATAGATGGTCCAGTGACACCACTTAAAAAGAAAAGAATGCCTAAACGACGAAAAGTTACTTTGGGATTGCATGGATTGGATGATGCAATGGCAGCTGCATTAAAATTTGGTTATGAATTACAAAGTGATTACCGTAACGATGATCGCGAAGAAATAAGAAATGCATTGAAGGTTCGATATTAGATAAATCATTAGAATATATAGCTTATAAACTTAGATTTAGCAAATGTCCTCATTTTTCCTATTATTTTAGGATGCGTTTTCATTAATGGCATACGATGATCCACGTGTTAGTTGTGTATCGCATCTACTTGACCCTTCCGGTCGAGAACCGGTCGCAAACGCATTGAATAGTGCAATATTGGGTACGAAACTTTGCATACATTTCATAATTCATACTTTAGCGATAAAAATCAAATTATTCGATTTGCTTTTGTAGTGTCACAGGGGAAACCAAAAATTCCCTCATTAGAGCAAGTTTACCGACAAGCTTCAGTAGTCCTTCATGAATTGTCAAGGAATGGTGTTGGTTCAAGTGCTTTTGTAAATGTGCGTAAAGATTGCTTAATCAGCGTTAAAAAATGATCGTTTACGTTTGGTATTACTCTAGCGTTACTCTCTGGAAATTTTGCTTTACTTTTTCGCTTTTTTTAGAAATTCGAGGTTCACAGATTTCAAACGATTGTATAAAAATACTCTATACTTATCGCATGCTCAAGAGCAGCGCTTCGAAGCTCGGCGCAGCTCATATTGCGCTTAAAAAATTTTTCGCTTGTCGAGCAGGTGTTAAATATATGTCAAAAAAATTTCTTCTAATTGCCAAAAATAAAGTGCTATGCGATTATCAAAACCGAATATTAATAGTTAACTGAGATTACTCAACAAATTAAAATAATTTATTATTAGCATTAATTAAGATGGTCGTTAGAAGATATACGTATAATCGTGTCTATTGTCGTTTTTTAGCTTTTTTTTTTAGAACTAGTCTAGGTATGGATATTGTTTGAGAAGATTTTTAATTTTATAAATTCTAAATTTTTAAATTATTTTAGTTTTTAAATTTGTATTTAATATTTTTAAAATAGTCTATTAAAAAAAATTAATATTTTAGTTTTATTAAATAATATTTTTAAAAAAAAAATTTTAAATTTTGTTAAAGTATTTTTATAAAAAAAAAAACCATAATATAGTATAAAAGTATATACTATTATATTTGTTAAAATTAATTAGTTTTGATATTATATATCTCTTAAACCGTTTTCCAGGCAAATTTGTTTGGATTTTTAAAAAGTTTTTATAAATATTAATATAATTTAATAAAATATTAATAATATGAGGTTTATATTATATATAGA